GAAAACATTGATTTTTTGTACTAATATGTTTCGATCGGAATAGGTACCTAAGTAAAATAATGTGTGAAGTAATAATTTAAAATTTGAAAATAATATTTCATATAAATATAAATATTATAATATCATTGTTAAAGATAAACGATTCTGAGCTAAGACGGCCTATACTTGTAATACAGCCTTTACCTATGAGAATACAATTTTTAAATCACAAACAAAATATTAAAATAACTATAGTCAGTGTAAATATATAATTTCCTCCGATTATGAACTTACAAAATATCTATCGCAAAAAACTTTTTATATAATTTTTTGATTTTTTGAATGTAGTTTGAACAAATTTTGATTTTATGTTTAAAATTGTAAAATCTTAGCTATACAAATTGAACAGCTTGTTAATTTTTAATTACAAAATAAATTGTAATTTTTCGAGGTCAAAGTTTGAACCATTTTAGTACCAGCAATAAATTCACAATAACAACAGAGTTGAAAAAGATAAAGTATGAATAGTAATACAAGTGGTTCAACAGACAACAACAGTACTTAGATGGTTAATCCGCAAATACGAAATAGAACATATGTATCCATAGGAACTGGGTAAACCATCTAAGGTAAATAGTATTAGGTAAATAATGTTTGGTTGTCTACATCAGTGGTGGCCAAACTGCGGCAAAAAAAAAACTCCGTTTTTGTTGTTACAATGTCATTTAATAATATAAATAGCATTATCGTATTTTATCTTATTTTCGTACTATCATGATGGCTGTAGAATCTACAGTGTAGATAATATTGGAGCACAGCAATTTTATTATTATTCGTCTGCCGCCACATCATTTTTGGAAATGTAAGCCATTATAATTTTTTTTTCATTTGTAGTAATTATTAAGTTAAGTATTGTAGAAAGTCATTAAAATTATTGAGTACCCTAAAAACGTCGTTAAATATGAAATTATATACCTATACCTAAAATTCTGATGACTAAAGTAAAATTTTTTTTTTATGGCCCGAGGTAAAAAAAGTTTGGCCACCACTGGTCTACATAATATGGACAGTACGAAAATTAAAAAAATATATATATATGGTTAATATAGTTTTATTCTAGAGCAAAACAACATACTATCTTCCTGCAATCTCAAACCTTGAAAAGAACTCCCTAACTTGTAAAATTTGAATTTTCGTAGCTATGTATTGAAAGTTTAAAAAATTAAAAAAATCCTTAATTCCATTTCAACATCAGCACATACTTTCAATTTGATACATTTTCTGTAAATTAAATATGCCGTCGTGATTGTATTTTTGAACAGATGTATAATCGTTGTTATACGTGGCCTAATACAGTAGTATATATTATAGTAGTCAGTAGGTTTAATAAGTTTTGCAAAAAACTAACATTAAAAACTTTATCGCGTTTATAATATACTATAATAAACTAAAAAAAGTTTCAAGTATCTTCGAATATCTTCAATTTGCTATGTTGATGTATGATAATAGTTTAAAAATATATTTTATATTAATTACCTTGAGCACTTGCGAAATACACCTAAATTGCAATACTTTGAAAGATGGAAACTCTTTAAGTTGCTAAATACCAAATGGATTCATAAAAAATTATTTAAATGCCTAAAGTTTACGTATACGCATTTTTAAATAGTGCGTAAAATATTTAATTATTATTATCATTTGGATAATACAAATTTATCTTCCAGCAAGTCATTATACTAGGTATTTTTATAATACATCAAATCTCAAAATCTGGCCTAAAGAAAAGGACGATCTGAACCTTCGTCGCATTTCTTTTTTTTATATCTCCATCATTAACAAATATTTCATATTTTTTATAGATGTTACGATTTGATTTAAAATAAAACGTGATGTATTAATGTAAGAAACACTTAGATAGGGAGAAAATTACAATTTTTAGATGAAAATAACATAACTTGTTTTGTAACGTCTACATACTACAAATTCAACACATTTAAAGAATTGTTCAGTTATGAATAAACGAGATTTAACATTACCTATAAGGTGTAGGTATGTATAGGAAAAAGTTCAGACAACCCTGTTGTATACGGACAGACTGTGAGTGGCTTATCACTAGAATGTGTGATAAGCCATATTATGTTCATCATCACTCTCCACAGTTATAACACTTAATAGTTAATACATACCTCGTGTACTCAGCAATGTCACATATTACTTTTAATAAACATTGTAACATACAACAAACACCAATAGTTCTATTAATTGCATTCTTAACTCTAGAAAAATGCCTGTGCAGCTCAATACCTAGAGATAAAGACAAACAAACATACATCTTTAAGATGAAAAGGACCACAAATCATTCGGATACAAGACCTATTCGTCCTATTTCACAGTCACAACATACATCCAACAAACATAGAAATAGACATGCAATGTTCATGCACAATATTTTTTTTTTTTTTTTTTTTTTTTTTTAAAGTTTT